TGTAATATAAAATATTTTATTAAACAGGACATTCATTGACATTTAAACATCTATTTTTATTAAAAAATGATTCTATCTCGATGAAGTAAGCAAGTATAGTCACTTTAATCATTATATTTTATCGTTTTTTTTATTTATATCTTGCCTTTTTTTTGCATTACGTTTATCAAAACTGTGTTTATTTTGCTGTTATTGTTATTTGGGATATATTTGAAGAGTTGTGCACATTGTTTTTACTAGCATTATTTACCATATTCGAACTTGAAACAGAATTAATCATCGATGAATTATTGTTTGTATTTGTTGTTGTATTATTAGTACTAGATGAAAAAGTGTTTGCGGTTTGATGTTTTCCTGAGGTATTTTTCGGAATATCTCCAATTAATCCTGAAAAAAATTAGTGAAAAATGTTAATGAATGAGTTACGTAGTTTGATAATAATATATTACAAAGTATTATTGAAAAATGATGCCAATTTCATTATAATTAAATTTGTAAGTGACATTTGGCAGCTTTTTTATTTAAGTATAATAGCAAATTGGTTGGTACTATGAACATGAAATAAAGTAAACTAACGAAATTGATTAAGTTAATTGCAATAATATAGTTAAAAACATTTTGCTTAGTTAAATCGTTTCGGGGCTTTAGATAAATGCATTGCTTTTAGCTTTTATATCATATTGATGAAACCATAAGGGGTAACCAATTGTATAAAAAATATGCTACCTTCATCAGAAGAGTCGTTATCATTACTTCGAGCTGGAGAATTCATTTCCTCCCGATTTTCTGCAATATCAAATCAACTAATAGTTTTTTCACACAAAAAATGCAATGGTATACCAAAATATTCAAATCAGTAAACAGCATTTAAAATAATAGTTGAAGCATGATTTTTTACTACAAGATGACATTATCAAATTGTGTAATTGAATATTCTACCAAAATACAAAATCTAATAAATAATATTGCACTTACACTAAATTAAAATAAATAACATAAAATAAAAACAAAAAATATTAATGCTAATATTTATTGCATATATAAAAAACATAAAAAATAAATATTTTTAAGAACTAGTTTAATAAACATTTATAATATAAAATCCTTAAATTATTGAAACTTAAAAATATATTGCATCAAAACAAACTAAGATTTCAGTTCTTTGAATCAAAATCTGCAAAAATAAATAACAAATAAAATTCAAATTAAAAACTATATACAGGAATAAATAAAATAAATAATAGTAGCAAATAATATATTAACTTACGTTTTGTTCGTTTGGTTCTATGAGTCCTGATACAGCTATATAAAAAACATTTTATATAATTTTGAAAAATCAAATTTTAATACACAATATCTAACAAATAACTTACTGCCATTGACGTGATTGAGGATTTAGAAAATAACCTTTCTGCTTCTTTGAATTTCCTGTTCCTTTTATCATGCTTGGAATTTGAATTACTCGAATTGTTTGTTTTATTATTTGCATTACTTGAACTAATCGATAAATTATTATTGGACACCAAATATCTATCCCACCCACGAATTATATTTCCATATAATTGGGTATCTTCGAGGTATGATCCTATAATTACATTTTATAAGAACAAGGACAATAAATTATAAATTTATTTTGTTTATAGGTTACCTTCGAAGGCATATATTTGTCTCTCGAGATTTGCTAGAGTTTCCTAAAGAAAAATTTACTTGCTTAGGGCATATAATAATTTGAGATTTTTTTTATGGAATAAAAAAAAAGTTCTTTACAGAAATATTAATTTTTATTCCAAATTTACTTACAGCTATTTCAACTTTTCGCTTCACCAACTCAGCAAGCTCATTTCTTGCATCAATACTTGGAATTTTATTATTAGCCATAATTTGAGTTAACTCCAGAACTTGAAACGAAATTTGCATGATTTTTGTGTTAAATTTTGTTTCTTAGGGAATTGAAACGTCAGAAAAACGCAAAGTATATTTGTAAAACTTTTTATAGACTTAAAGATCAACTTGTGTGTATGAATTATATCTATAATGCTATCTTACCTGCTATATTAATAATACTAGTAATTATTTGATTTTATTTATTATTATTTTACATCTGTCAATATACTAATTAAAATGGCGGGATCTGTTTTGTTTTATTTCATAATATGAACGTGCTGTCAGTGACATCTAATGGTGTACGATTGCAATATTGCATAACTGGTTTGTATCTATGATAACTAGGGTTCGAAATACCGGTGCTGCCATAATATTGAAGTTTTAACCATTCGTTATTAACCTACGTAAAAAATACTGCAAAAACATGATTATTTCATCCTTACTTATAAAAAATAATAGTATTCCTTTAGTTAGACATTATATTCGACCAAAGTTTGCAGGAGGTGTCAAATTTGGACAAATAACTTATTATCCAAGGTAACCTCAAAAAATAACTTAAAAAAATCTCTAACTAATTTTATAATTAAGTAACACAATTTACCTTATCTATTATAGACATCCAGATGAAAAAGATCCTGACTATGAGCCAACAAATTATTTAGGGTTCAACGGGTCAAACCAGTTAAAGGCACACCGTATTGGGAAAGACGAATCTTGAGAGATTTAGGACTGGTTGATAAGGTATAATTTACATATTATTCAATGGTCACTACTTGTAAAACTGATTTTATTTACCACAAGTAATTGCATCTATTAATTTTAAAATAACCAAGATTTAATATTAAACGGAAGAGGATATCATGGTCAAACAACTGTATCTCCTTAATAATTTAAATTTTTTAAAATCCTCTCATACACATATTTTAAAATAGTTGAATTTTAATAATATGGAAGTAAAGAGATTTTTTTTCTTAATTCTTACACTAGAATACCTCCTTAAATGTTATCAACAATGCTAATTATTTGTTATTACATGTGTTATATAGAATATTATCTTGTAGCAAACGGACATAGCAATAGTAAAAAACATACCAGAAAACAATGCAAGATTATGGACAATCAAGCATTTAATAAAAGTTACGCCTATTGTATTTCCCTATGGAGAACCTACGGAGAAAGATCTTCATGCAACATTTTTGAAAGAAAATGGAGAATGTATAGTTCATAAAGTATTAATTTGAATTACAAAAAAGTTCAGATTACAGAGAATTTTAAAAATGATCAAAAGAGATTAGATTCAGATACATTAAAGAAAGATTCTCGGTTGAAATGGTTAAATCCTTGGAACTGAGTTACATTTTATGAAGTTTAACTATTATTTATGGGTAATGTAGATAAAAAATTATATTATATTATATGTAACTTATTGCTTTCTCAGTGATATTCATATTATCTAGTTGTCATTCAATAAATGCAAATTTATGGTAAAGCTCATAAATGCTGATGTAATTTTTTATACCAAATACAGAAAATAGTATTCCAGTTCTTTTACCTGTACGTATGTTTATATCAACTGTTTTATTTTTTCTTATGATAAACTGGTGCTGCTTCATAATCTTTTAGACCAGTATTATTTTATGAGGTACCAGTATGTGAGGACCAGTATTATTTCAGGGTGAAAACAACAGATAAAATAAACAAGGAGTTGTTGTTTGTGCCGCCTTCCTTGCCCAATTTTGATCTATACTGCTATGTGTAAGTTTTTTATCGGAATTTTTAGACCCCTCCGACTATAGTTTTTATTTTATAGCAATCTTACAAAATCGACAATTCTCGCAATAGGGGACCATTGGCAGATTTTTTGGCTAAAAATCGAAGTTGCTCTGATTCGACTTATATTCAAAAACTAGATATATTATGACTTTAATAAATCGCCACTGAATTTTTTGACCCCTCCGACTGCTAGTTTTTATTTTATAGCAATCTTACAAAATCGACAATTCTCGTAATGGGGACCATTGGCAGATTTTCGGCTAAAATTCGAAGTTGCTCTGATTCGACTTCTATTCAAAAAGTACATTAATTATGACTTTAATAAATCGCCACTGAATTTTTAGACCCCTTCGACTACTAGTTTTGATTATATAGCAATCTTACAAAATCGACAATTCTTGCAATGGGGGACCATGGCAGATTTTTCGGCTGAAAATCGAAGTTGCTCTGATTCGACTTATATTCAAAAACTAGATATAATGACTTAATAAATAGCCACTGAATTTTTAGACCCCTCCGACTGCTAGTTTTTATTTTATAGCAATCTTACAAAATCGACAATTCTCGCAATGGGGGACCATTGGCAGATTTTTCGGCTGAAAATCAAAGTTGCTCTGATTCGACTTATATTCAAAAACTAGATTAAATTTGTCATTCCATCTACAATACTCCTGCGCTTTTCTCTTCTTGGTTTTTAAGTTATTAATATATTATTATTAGTCATTAAGTAACTAATATTAATATAAGTTATTTTCCTTTAATAAAACTTTAAAAATATGTAATATACTTTAAAAAATATTAGTCAGTTATTTCTGTTTAGTTTATAATTCTTCAAAATTATTTAAAAATATATTTTGTATTTCGTATGTTTTGTTCTTATTTCCAATTTTGCATTTTTTTCAGATTTTATGGCTGTATTGATTATGTACAAATGTAGAAGTAATAAAAGGCATTAATTTACCATATGTACATGTACTGCTATCTATAATCAAAGTTGCGTATTTTAATCGATGTAACGGCAAATCGCCTGGCATAGCGATCTATTTATACTTGTTTATCTATATATCATACTTGTTTATCTATGTTTATCTTGTCTAGGCTCATAGATAAGAGAAGAGTATAATATAGTCTAGGCTATTTTACTTGCGGTTGCCAATAAATTTTTGTCTATGAAGTAAAAAAGATCAAAATGTCAATCAGGCAATACTACTCAATAATATTTGTATCAAACGTCAAAAGCAGCCGCAAATAACCGGCTCGCGATCTCATTCCATGTTTTTTTAAAAATAATCTTTATAATATCATATTCATATTTTTAGAACAGGTAAATATCGTAAACGTCCGATGAAAAATTCGTATGATCTTCATACTTGTATTTATAGAGTTGTTATTTTTAGAAACAGGCTTATGCGTGCTTATTTGAGCAGTTATATATACCTGTGTGGTTATTAATTTTAGGAAAAGATAGCCTTTTTGAAATAAGAAAACATCGATTGTGCAAATGAAGTTAAAGTCTTCTGAAATAATTAAACGTGGTACCTGTATTTTGACTGAAAAGCCATTTGTTTATGCGTTGAATTCTAAATATCGGAAGGAGCGGTGCGATTTCTGTTTTTTAAAGTAAGCATTAAATAAAATCAATTCAATATAATATATATAATCAATTAATTCAATATAATATATATATATATAACTTATCTATTCATCCTTTTATCCATCCATCTAAATCAGTCAAAAGATTCAATTATTTTTGTGAAATTTTTATTTATTTTACAGACATTGTAAAGATAATTCAAGACCCTAATTGTTTGCAAAATAAATAATTTTTTGATAATTCAGTTCTTGAAAAATCGGCTAATTTTGCATTGGTATAGATACGAATAAGAATAATTATATAAATTTATTACTATTTAATAAATTAATTATCTATACAATTCAACTGTGTTAACATGGTATACTCTGGACATATAATCAGCATTTTTCCCCGATAATAAAGATAACCCATTAAGCGGTGCCTTATGTACTTGCAATGGGAAATCTCTCGTACTATCTGTTCCTATTTCATTTTAACTTATTTCATAGACTTTGCATTAGCACAATCATTTAATTTATTTCATATATAGTGTGTGTTTTCAAAGGATTATAATTATATAAAGTAAGCATTAAATAAGAAGCTTCAGATTTATATACATATGTATATATATATATATATTATATATATATATATATATATATATATTATAATAAATATGAACAAAGCTACACTCTGGTCAGTTTCATATAATCTGCATTATTCCCGATAATAAAGAATACATATGCTTCCAATTCAAACTCATGTACTTACAATGGAAAATCTCTCGTAGTATATTTTCAAATTTTATTTTAACTCAGTTTATATCGTCAAATTAAGAACAATTATTAGTTGATATTTCAGTGCCAAATTCTGCTGAGTTGTTGAGTTTATATGGCCGGGTATGCATATGAATTTCCATGAATTATGAGAGAAGTTTTCTTCAGCTATATCATTCACTTTTTATTTTTCTAATTCATGGTTCAAAAAGAAATACCTGCCTAATGAATTAATTTTAATTTCAATGTATTCTTGTTATTTCATATATAGTGTGTGTTCGCAAAAGATTATAATTTCTAAACATAACACTCATTTAATGTATGTTAAGTATCATTTTTCCCTTATTACTTCAAAGGCTAAACATTATTTTTTATTTCAGAACAAACTTATTAAAATGTACAGGGTGCAATTATGTGTATTATTGTGGAAGGGCTTGCCAAAAGGAGGCTTGGACAATACATAAAATAGAATGCCCTTGCCTTCGAAGGGCAGGTCCACGAATTGTACCCAATGCAGCTCGAATGCTGTTAAGAATAATTATAAAGTCAAAGGTAATTAAACTTCACATTTTCAGCCTTTCTGTTACAATAAGCACCTGATTACTCTGAAATGAATAATACAACCATTATTACAATAAATGTATTGATAGACAAATGTTTTATGAGTATTAAAGATTCTTTTCCTACATGGGTATAACTTTGTTTGAAACTTTATCATAGGGAAATAACAAATAATTATTTTATCTATTTTATCTTATACATATATCATATATATTTCAACAGCAAAATGGAGAATTTGAAAAGGGCTATTACACAAGTACAAATTATAGAAGGTTTAAAGATTTAATGTCTCGTAAGTACAATTTTGGATATGAATATTTGGCAAATTTTATTTAAATAACAACTTATTGAGTAATAATTTATTTGTTTGTATGATTTATTTGTACAGATTATGCTGAAATAAAGCTAGATTCGAAACGAATGGAGCATTTAGAAAGTTTACAAGCTGTCTTGGAACAATTATTAGTTGATATATCAGTGCCAAATTCTGCTGAGTTGTTGGGTTTATATGGCCGGGTAAGTATAAGAATTTCCAGAGATTATGAGAAAAGTTTCTTCAGCTGTATTATTAAATTTTTTATTTTTCTAATTCATTGTTAAAAATGGAATATCTACCTAATGAAATAAGTTTAATTTTAATGTATCCTTTCTTGTTTATATTCATAGAGATTTTTTGTTTTTGAATTCAAGTTATCAAATCAGGTTCATTTTTAGTTAACTGTTAATGGCTTCAACATTTTGGATGGTGAAATGTGCAGTCTAGGAACTGGTATATACCTAGGCATTTCTATTGTTGACCATTCTTGCACACCAAACGCTGTTGTTGTTTTTGAAGGAACCACTCTTTATATAAGAACTTTACAAGACTTGCCAAGTCTAAATTGGTCAGAGGTAAATAATTCTGATTAAAAATGTATTGGTTTATTACCATCAAGACATATTTCAATTAAATGATTTGTTGCAGATATTTATTTCATATATAGATTTACTAAATACAACTGAAGCCAGAAGAATTGATCTGAAATCAACATATTATTTTCTGTGTACTTGTTATCGTTGTTTGGATGATTCAGAAACAAAACTTATGAACAGCGCATGTTGCATGAATGCATTTTGTGATGAACCTATAGATGCATCATTTTCTGATAAAATCTGCAACAAATGTACAACAAAAGTTTCTGAGGAGCACATGCAGATATATCATGAAGTTAAAGAGTTTATCGAAATGAAACTAGAGGAAATGAAGGACATAGCATGTAAAAAATTTGAAACATGGTAATAAAATATAATTATAAATTAACATAAACTTTTATTTTCAGATTTAGATGTATGCAAAATTTGCTTGAAGAAAATGTCAGGTATATTACATCCAAAAAATATTTTGTATGTTAAAATATTGGATATGGCTTTTGAAAGTGCAATTCAAATGTGCTTATGGAACGATGCAATAAGTTATGGAAACCAATTACTACATGGTTTCAGGTGAATTAGAATAAGATATTAAATTAATTTCTGAATTAATATTAAAGTATTATCTGGGAATTCAATAATCTGGGCATTTTTCAGACTCAATTTTTTTTTTTTGTAGATTATATTATGGTAATTTTCATCCACTCTTGGGGTTATTATATTTAAAACTTGGAAAAATATTACTTCTTCAAAATCAGCCAGAGTCTTTAGAAAGGTATATTTTAGAATGCTTTTATTTCATGCCTGAATTAAAAAATTAAAATTGAGTATTTATTGATATGTTTCAGACTTAAAAATGCACAAGAAATCCTTAAAATAACCCATGGCGAGAAACATGAGTTATACAAACACAATTTATTACCCCTATTAGAGCAAGCTTTGAGTGAAAGTCTACCTAATTAAATGGTAAATAAAGAAAACAATAGTTTGTATTTTTATACAATAAAATTTTATAGTTTACCTATAACTTATTACATACTTTTAAATAATATTAATTTTACTAAACATTTAATTCATCAGTTACTGCAGGAAAAGATCACTTTTAACAATATATGTACGAATACCATATAAAAACAGGTGTATGTAAGTCAAATTATGAATTTATTATTAGGTTATTTTTATGCTTTTAGAATTTACTTTTCATTATACAGCTAACGTTTTCCATTGTTAAAGTTGAGAATCCGCAAAGGGGCTTTAAAAGTTGAGTTAGCTTGCTGCTGAATTTGATATGCGAGTGGATGTATTTTGAAGCCATATAATCTGCAATTAAATAAAAGGATTGATGATTATGATTGTAAAATAGGAAAAAAACAATTATTTTTACCTTGGTACAAATTGATTTGCTGGCCGTTTTGGTCTATATTCAGGATGAACCATAAATAACATGTGTGGAAAGCCAGAGCCAAAGTAGGCACCATCCGTGTGATGATGTCTTGAACTCTTGGGTACGTAAACATCCATACATTTAGGGCAGTAGGACTTTACCATAGCCTCTCCAGGCACATCAGAAAGACCTTTATAAAAAAAAAAATGTGAATTAAGTTTCTAAGGACAAAGATTATTTATTACCACTTACCTAATGGCAGCATAGGCTGACTATCGCAGTAAACTCTAGGGCAATATCCGAAGTCTCCAGATTGGTATTTTTCTATCATTTGAGCTATACCTCTATTTGTTAAAATATATCTGGCGTGAATTAGACCATATAACATCTCTGCAGCTTGTTCTATTGCATCTGACTGATTTGGATTATCATCTATTTCATCATCTATATAGAGAAAAAAAATTATTGTTTAAGGAGGCATGACAATTGTTCTTACTATTGGCTATCTTCTAAAACATAACTCTGCAATAACTAAGTTCAAAGATTTTGTTACATCTTAAATACTTTACCAGGTTCTAAATCTAATATCATATCCAAGGCTTGTCTATATCGTGGAATTTGCTCATTAAGGCCTGTTAGATTGAATTTATCCTGTATATAGTCTTCATCCACCTACAAAAATTTTTTTTTTTTAATATCTATATTTAGCATTCTTCAATAAATTTTAAGACAAACCTCGCAAAAGAATTCATTTCCTCGTAGACCACAAAACCAAGATATCCATGAGACCTCCTCAGAACTGCTCATTTTCCTATAATAGTAGAGAACTGTCACAGCACCGTTAAAATAATTGTGAAAATGTTAATTCAATTATTGTGAAATGTACAGATTGCTAAAAAAGAGCTACTTCAAATTTTCCATGTTATTAGAAGGTATATATTGAAATTATAATTTCATTCCAAAAGCAATCATTGCAACTTGGATAATCAGAAACACATTTTATATATATTTGGGAATAGCCTTACCTTTTGGTACCTTGGTTAGCCACGCTTAGACTACAATATAAATTGGGTTTATTGTGCGATTTCTATATGCAACAATTTTACTTTGACAATAAAAAATATTTCTTGAAATAAAGCAGAACTACAAACGACAAATAGTTAATTCTAAAGTTAAAGTTGCACACTTGCCACTTCTCACCAAAGAACACATCAAAGAGAAGATGGTAAACTTAAGTGATTTTGAGTGAAATGGAATAAACATAACTAATGCATATAAAATGCATTATGATTTTTAGGTAATAACCATTGATAAAAATATTATTGTTATAATTGTGGCGTTCTTTTATTTTAGATATTTGTTTTGTTTGATGAAAGGTAATAAATAGTGCTAAATATGCTAAAAATGTATATTTAATAAATATAATACAACATAACTATAAATATAAGTAATTGAATAATTAAAATCATTTTATTCAAATATATATATATATATATATAAACATAAAAAGTCCATGATAAACGAGGAAGAAGATTTTACAACATGATGCTTTACCTGTTTATGCCTTCGTTGTTTCTGAAATAAATTCACGATGGCAAGACGGTGAATGTTATTATAAGTGTGGTACCACCGGATACGCAAATTCTCCATAGCGTCGTAGCGTTCTCCTTGTCTAATTGTCGCCATTTCATATGTATCTCCGTTTCATATTTATCTAATATGTACAAGCCGAATCGCCATTAAAGCGAGACAAAAGATTGTTTTACTGTGTATTTTTGACATTACAATTAAGGTAAGCGATATTTATCTATTACTAATAAATAGAAATGTCAAGTGTTTCTATTTAATCCATAATGGACTTAAATCTTGAGTTATTTAATAGTTTTGAGTCATTTGTCAAAGCATCGTAGCCGCAGCTATTCTATTTATGCGTTATCCCTTTCTTGCTCAACAATTTCCCCTTAGAACATATTTCTAAAGTACGTTTTGACAAAGGAAAATATATATTTCCTTTACATTCTCTCATGTTTTATCGCGGTCTCGCTCAATATTTATGTTTGAGCTTTATTGCCTATTTTCATGATTTTTTAGGAAGAAACAATTGTTCTTTGTTCAAAAAACAAAATATTGTGTTCTTTTGTAATATCGATGTGTTTCTTAAATATCATTCTATATTATTAAACATTTATATTTTTTTTAACATGTTTGACACAACAATGCATTATTATTTTAGCCAAAATAGCCTAGATAAATTAATTATTACAAACATAACATGAAGTAAACTCTTTTCTAATACTTTTTTTAGAAGCTTTTCTTAATAAGTTTGTTCCTTCTTACAAGGTAAAATATTTTATTTTGACAGGTAACCATGATATATTTTGCAGTTTTTAATAATGTATAATTTTATTAATAGTGAGTGAATAATTATTTTTATTTATGCTGTCTCAAATTTTAAATGTTTGATATTCTAAGTTATGCCTTTGAATCAAATATTAGTTCTTTGCTGTTTAATAAACTTGTTTTTTGAGTCCCAATAATTAGTTAAATCCTTCGGTCTCAAGAATATTGTTCATTCAGTTATTTTTAGAAGTTTTTCTTAATAATTTTGTTCCTTGTTACAAGGTAAGATATTTTATTTTGGCAGGTAACCATAATATATTTTGCAGTTTTTAATTATGTATAATTTTATTAATAGTGAGTGAATAATTATTTTTATTTATGCTGTCTCAAATTTTAAATGTTTGATATTCACGTTATGCCTTTGAATCAAATATTAGTTCTTTTGCTGTTTAATAAACCTGTTTTTTGAGTCCCAATAATTAGTTAAATCCTTTTGGTCTCAAGAATATTGTTCATTCAGTTATTTTTAGAAGTTTTTCTTAATAACTTTGTTCGTTGTTGCAAGGTAAAATATTTTATTTTGACAGGTAACTATAATATATTTTGCAGTTTATAATAATATATAATTTTAGTAATAGTGAGTGAATAATTATTTTCATTTATGCTGTCTCAAATTTTAAATGTTTGATATTCTAAGTTATGCCTTTGAATCAAATATTAGTACTTTTGCTTTTTAATAAACATGTTTTTTTGAGTCCCAATAATTAGTCAAATCCTTTGGGTCTCAAGAATATTGTTCACTCAGTTATTTATTGTTTCTTGATATTTGTTAAATAAATATTTTATTCACCTCCACTTTCTTGATGGTATAATATTAGGTTGTCAAATATCTCCCTTCCGCCTTTTGTATTATAAACCAATAGCAAAAAAGCGGAAGGGAGATATTTGACAACCTAATATTTATCTTATAAAGTATTTATTCTTTGTTCAATTTCAAAATTATTAATTAGTCACTATTTATTTAGGATCGAAGTTGAAAATTTCTTGCAATGTTTACTACTTCAAATGCCTTACAAAATGCTGGAGGAACGACACCAACTTTGCAATATCAGCAAGCTGACATGGGCCAGAAGCCCCAAGTTAAAACGATTGATAATACTCAAATAAAAATAAGTCAACATCAACAGGTAAGATTATTCAACTTAAGGTAGATGTATGAATTTTTTAAGTCAGTTTTAAATCATAAAAAAGACAATCAATTTTTATGCTATTATTTTTTTTATAATTTCTTTATCAACGTAACAAGAGTGCTGAAATAAAAGTGGAAGGTTGCAAAAAGTTGACACGCAATCATGCCCACAATTGCAATACTAGTAATCGGAAATGAAAAAAAAATTAATAATCTAAAATGATATTGCTTTGGTATATACTAGGATTGATTTAAAAAATAAATTTTTGACCAAATAGTGAGTGCTTGAGAAGAAAAGAATCAATTTCTTACTACTTTTTTGAGTTTCTTGATTTTTTTTTTAAAAATAGTAAGTATTAAAATACTGAGATGAGGCTAGTATGTGCCTCTGTAAAGAAGATTCTCCAAAAATTTTAAGTAAATCACGTAGAACTTGCAAAATTGTGGGCATTGTTGCAATTTTGGGAAAAGGAAACAAAAGAGATTATCATGTTCAAACAGCTGTATCTCCGAAGATAACATAAATTTTCAAAATTCCTCTGGTACACATATTCTTGAATAATTAAACTTTGGAAATAAAAATAAAAAAAACTATTTTCTTGAATTTCTACAATAGAAATTCAAGTTTTCCTTAAATTATTTCAACACTCAAAATAATAGATTTTTTAAGAAATGTATAAAATATTCTAAATATATTTAGAATAATATTTTAATTTCATTTAATAAGAGGATAAGTTTAGTATTGATAGATTGAAAACTTAAAATATTTTATTCAATGAAAATGGTTTTTTACAGCAAGTACACATATTCATAAATATGATAGAAGATAAAAATTAAAAAAAACTATTTTCTTGAATTTCTACACTAGACATTCAAGTTTTTGTTAAATTATTTCAACACTCAAAATAATAGTCTAAGAATTTTTAAGAAATGTATAAAATATTCTAAATATATTTAAAATAATATATTAATATCATTTAATAAGATGATAAGTTTAGTATTGATAGATTGTAAACTTAAAATATTTTACTAACTTTTAATTCTTCTTTTATAGCAAGTTCAACAAGAGTTTCCAACATTCTGTTACACCAATGTAAATATGATTCAAAAATTGACACCAGCCTCCCAGGCACACACCAGCACTGTAAATTTAGCTCAATTGACTGATGATAATAAAAC